CTTCTTTCCCTGTCATCTCAGTTTGTGGTTTATTTACTGCTGTCTTCTTTCCCTGTCATCTCAGTTTGTGGTTTATTTACCTATCGTCTTTCCTGTCTTCTCAGTTTGTGGTTTATTTACCTATCCTCTTTAATGTCTTCTCAGTTTGTGATTTATTTACCTATCATCTTTCCTTTCATCTCAGTTTGTGATTTATTTATCTATTTTCTTTCCTTTCATCTCAGTTTGTGATTTATTTATCTATTTTCTTTCCTTTTATCCCAATTTCTGGGGTAAGAACAAGTGAATCCTTACTAATGACACCTTTCAACCACCCGTCACTTTCTCGAATGAATGTTGGATTCTACTTATTATCTGCTGTGTGTCCACACTTTGACAAAATGGAATATTGATTCAAGTTGTGATTTATTTACCTATCGCCTTTGGTTTCATCTCAATTTATGATTTATTTACCTATAGTCTTTCCTTTTACCTATCTTCTTTCCTTTCCTCTCAGTTTGTGAATGTACCAGTCTCCTTTCCTTTTACTAATCTTTTTTCATCTCAGTTTGTAATTTATTTACCTGTCTTACTGTCTTCTTTCCTTTTACCTGTAGTCTTTCATCTCACTTTCTGATTTATTCTCCTATCTTCTTTCCTCTTACCTATCGTCTTCCATCTCAATTAGTGATTTATTTCCCTATCGTCTTTCCTTTCATCCCAATTTGTGATTTATTCTCCTATCTTCTTACCTTTAACCTATCGTCTTTAACCTCAATTCGTGATTTATTTCCCTATCGTCTTTCCTTTCATCTCAATTTGTGGTTTATTTACCTTTCATCTTTCCTTTCATCTCAACTTGTGGTTTATTTACCTATCGTCTTTCCTTTCATCTCAATTTGTGATTTATTTACCTATCGTCTTTCCCTTTAATCTCAATTTGTGATTTATTTCCCTATCGTCTTTCCCTATATCTCAATTTCAGGCTGTTCCAACGGTAACCCTTGCCAGAACTCGGGTACGTGCGTTGAGCAACCGCTGGGAGAGTACAGATGTTCCTGTCCGACAGGCTTCAGTGGGGGCAACTGTGAGATCTGTAAGTTTGGAGGAGGGGATTTTTTAAAACTTATTTTTTACCTTATGCAGTTGCGAGCGCCGTAAAACCCCATACTAAACTGAAACTTATGTTGTTTTAAGTGCGTCAACAACATTGCACCATCATATCTTTGTGACATAGTCATCGAATATATATATATACCATCTCAGCCTTTAAGATCGGTGCCGAAAAGACATTTTAACTGAATGTCTAGACTTCAGAGAGACCCGAAGGAAATTCTTTAAATACAAAAAATTGCAAGACATTTTTTCCGATGTTGTTCCCAACAGAATTTTGGATTTTATGACGGGCATTGGCCTTTATGGGAAATTATAGAGTGAAATTGAATTATTTAAAATGTTTATGTTACTTAGGAAAGTTGTTTTAGATTGAAAATATATATTTACACCGAATTTTAAATATTTTACTATTTTAAGATCTAACTACTGACCCGAGCCCAGCCGTGCAGTGAACTGTTGTGAATTGAACTTATTTGTGTTTCGCGCGCTCATATGACCTTATGCAGTTGCGAGCGCCGTAAAACCCCATATTAAACTAAACGGTGAGATCTGTAAGTTTCTAGGAGGGGATTTTTTTACTTGTTTTGTTTTAAGTGGGTCAGCAAAATTGCACCATCATATCTTTGTGACATGGTCATCGAATATATATAT